GCTAAGGTGTCTGTCACGTTTGTGAGACAACAGAGAGAATGGATCCAAAGACGAGGATGCTAAGAAAATATTTCGGTCTCTTTTGATTTTCAAGATTCTATCTGATTGAGACATATGTAGGAGTTGAAGATCATTGTCGTGTTAATCTCAAGACATTTGGATTCGATCATAGTTGTGAACAGAGTCTATCTTCATAACATAATAAATGAGTAGTTAGCTATTCATACTAGCCAGTAATGTGTGCATTTGTTTTACAGAAAAAAAATAAATTTAAAGAGTAATGTAAAGTTATTCTGATAGTACTTGTACAAACAATATTTTCATAATAGAACCATTCATGTAAAATCATGCTTTGAATCTACTGGATTGTATACCAATTTTCCATTACTTACACTTTAAATTTGAACTATTCATAAGAACTCCATTATCATTTGTATTGTGCTAATGAAACTTCCTCTACGCCTAATTGACTTCCTAATTGATAGAGCTTCGCAAGCTTTAGGAAACGAGCTACTTTGTAATGACTAAAATAATGGGTCACTTTACAAAGTCCTCAGTACACTATTCGTGAGGACAATTTTTTTAACCTTTCCGACAATTTTGTAGCAGAATAATAAACATTCCACTTCAAACAAATATCATGTTTGGAATCATTACAAAAAATTGAGTCCATTTATGTATATATCAAAGATTATCTGCGACTGTTTTTCAGATCAAATGTTCACTTTTGAATCCTTCACGAATATGTAAAAAAATTAATTCAGCTAAAAAGTCATTGTGGCAATGAATAGGAAATTCTAAACTTGTAAAATGCTATTTGAAGACGAAAAAAAAAACAGGTGACTAAACAATAAAGTAGTTGTTTTAATTAGCTTTATTTTTTTCAAAACTCCTGACGAATCCAGGAATGAAAATTTGACCTTTAAAAAAGTCACAGAAAAACTTTGAAACATACATAAGTCGATTCAATTTTTTGTGATGATTTCAAATATGAGATATATTTGAAGTGGAATGTTTATTATTCTGCATCAAAATTGTTAGGAAAGCTCAAAAAATGATACCCCAAGAATAGTGTACTAAGGATTTTGTAATGTGACCCATTATTTTAGTCTTGACAAAGTAGCTCATTTCCTAACGCTTGAAAAGCTATATTGATTACGAAGTGAACTAATTAATTGTAAAGGAAGTTTCATTAACACAACAATTAAATGATAAATGAAGTGCTTATAAGTGGTTCCAACTTAAAGTGTAAGTAATGGAAAATTGACATACGATCCAGTAGATTCAAATCATTATTTTAAATGAATGGTTCTATTATGAAAATTTAGTTTGAACAAGTACTATCAGAATAACTTTGAATTACGCTTCAATTTTGTTTATTTTCTGTAAAACGAATGCATACATTACTGACTAGTATGAAAAACTAACTATTCATTTACTATGTTGTGAGGATAGATTCTGTTCACAGCTACGATCAAATCAAAATGCCTCAAGTTTAAAATAACAATGATCTTTTATTTTATACATGCCTTAATTAGATTGAAACCTGAAAATAAAAAATAGACCGAAATGCTTGTTTAGGCTCTCTAATACTTCAACATTCTTTTTAGATCGTATATCACAAAAGTTTGATTAATAATAGAATATTCATACAACGACAGATTACGATAATGCTACTTCATTTCGTTAAGTAAATAAATGAAGTCTTCGATTGAATTTATACTTATCAATTCTAGTCAATTCAATATTTGACATATGTTATGTATTATTTGGCTTACATAAGTACTTGTAAACGACCTTCAAACGGTATTCGTTTAAATGATTCAATGTCAATATACTCTTGATATTGTTCATTCCACATTTGAATAATTAATGTTGTTTTTGTTATTTGTTGTAATTGAAATTCTTGAACTAAAAGCAAACATTAATTCTCTGTGAAACTGAAACAACAAAAAAGAAAAAAGGATATTTTAACTTATTAAATATTTAAGATGTTCATGTGAAATTCCATTTTGTTGATGATAATATTCACTTGTTATTGGTATTTCAATTAAACGATTTCGTTGACGAAATCGACATAAATAAATCATTGGTGTTAATTCTAATAATGATCTAATTGAAATAAAAGATTAAATAATCAATCAAATTTTGTATCAAATTCTTTTTATTTTTAATAATGAACATATCTACCTTTTTGTTGTTGAACTTTTTTGAAATTATTATTAATAAAAGAAGATGAATTTACTACAACTAATAATGAATTCTTTTGACTGTTACCATGTAAATTACTATTAGTTAATATTTGATAAAAATTAAGTAATGCGGCAATATCATCAACTAATTAAAATATCACCTCTAAATCAAGATTTTCAGGATCCTAGCAGTCCAAAATAAGCAATAAACGTGTTATAACGAACGTTATAATATTTTCTTTCAACGCATGTTAACTTTCAACAAATGTCCGAATTTTCGCGTTTTAACAGTTGAATTAATGTTGATTTTAAACTCGTTATACTGAGTTGAAACACAAACGTTTAAATGCGTTTATGAGGTAAATGCATTAAAACGCAAAAGAACGAACACTTTTGATAAGTTTAAATGCGTTTTACGAGAAAATTTCAACACCAGTGAATCGGTGTCGTTTAAATGTATACTTAGGTTTCAGAGACGTGTTTCAACCAGTTTGTTAACGCTTTAATACAGATTCAATTAAAGATACTTATACTGGAGAAGTAGTCGATATACCACTAGACTAAACTTATTTATTTCTACTAGATTTAAATTTTCTATTTATAATTAACCAACCTTCAGTGCATACACTTGCACAGCTATTTATAGTAGACGTTGACCCATTTAAATAAAAAATGGTAATATAGTGGATTTTAATATTTTTGAGGGATTAAAAATCAATTACAATCATACTAATTTGATCTAATTTTCATCAGAAAATTATTTAAATCCAAATCAATTTCTAAAAATCGATCCTTATTAATTTGCTAGATTTTTTTTTTAGAGATTTCAATGAGATTATTAATCACATTATTTGATTTCTAATCTCAGAAAATTGGTTAAAATTAATTTTCATCTTCTTTTATTTCTCTTTTGGTCAATGAATAAATATCATATGATATCGAATCTTAAATCATTGTATATTTGTTGAAGGTTGATTAAGCAGTATACTTACTACTCGTTTAGCAAGAAGTCTCGAAAAGCGATGAAAAATTCGATTTTTTAATTTAAAAACTCGAGAATAACCTGTTTATTTTTTTTATTGGAAATTTGATTGAAATAGTGTACCTTTCATCGATTTTTAATCAAAAAAAATTAATAAAAATCATTTTTTCTAAATTTTTATCAAGAAATGCAGAATTTAAGTTCTAATAAAAATCTAATATCGATGCTCGACACGTTCATTGCTACAAACTGTTTACAAAATAAAAATTCTATAATTAACCTTATTCATATCGATCTTCAAAACATATAGCTATACTTAGTTGTGGATGTAGGTATCACACAATAGCAACCTGACAATGACATCAACACTCCTAGCAGATACTTAGTTGATAAATGACCATGTTTAGCGATGTAGGCTTGTAGTCTATGTACCCTGATATCGATCACTAATTGAGTTTATTCATTATTAATCTTTAATCAAAATGCTTGCTATTCTACCAGAACTTATGTTAAATTTCATTCGTTTCGTAACTCTGATTTTTTTGGGGTATCCCCATCGAACTGGGAGCACTTATCGGTAAAAATTTTAGAGTCATTTACTTTACTTCCTATTGATTTTTTGTCCAAAAGAAATTTATTTCAATGCCTACTGATTTTTCAAGTCATTTTTTCTATTTTAATGCATTTAAACGAATGGCATGTTTATGTTAAAATGAATTCAGTTTTCTAATTTATAGCATACATACGTTAAAACGTGTTCACTGATCTAATATGTTCATTAAATTCGTTTTAACGCATTAAATGTAAGAAAGAAACCGTCCCACACGTTTACTTCTAAGATCTTTCGAGTCAATGAGTTTTACAGCATTGTTTTCGTCAATTCGTACCTTCAACGTATCAAAACAGCGTTTTTGTCGTTTATCTGTCTGCGTGGGAATGTTGTTGAAGTTGATCTTGATGATTGAGAATTAGAATTATGATATATTTACAAATGAATTTAAAGTTTTTGTTAAAAATAAATGATTAGTTATTGAACTCAAATCATCGATTAGTTTTTTTATTAGTAATTGATGATGATGATAATGTCATGATATTCATATTCCAAGTATTATCAAGAATAGACGAACGAAAAATAATGAAATGAAATAACTGTTAGTGCAAAAGAAAGATAGACACATTCCACTGTTAATTCTTCTCCTTCTTTTTCTCTTATATTTCTTTGTTTAAAAATATGTTATCACTTACCGTGATGAAAATGATGTTTTACGAAAAATTGTTGATTTTTTATTCATCATTACTCAATGTTAAATGGAGATGGATTGAGACTACGCATTTTTTTTCCACAAAAAAAAAAGACATACATATAAATATACGAAATAACAAATAAAGTATCTTTTATCCTTTTGACGGTATCGTTCGTGTCGTTGGCACATACATTCGGCAACTTAATACATCAGACATCACCTGTGCTATGTGAGAGTATAGGTAGAACTTTGTGCCAGAATAAAACCATAAGCAATGATGAGAGAATAATATGTTTTGTTTTTATTCAAATCGACCGTTACATGGTTAAACAATACTAAATTTAATCTTTAAGTTATATGCACATAAATTTATATCCATACGACAGTCTATTTAGATATTATCACTTGTCCGTATCACATGGTCATATATCCAATTACAACATTTCTATCATAAAACCTTTTTTTTTTTACCATCAAATACGATACTATCAAATAATTCATTTTGTTCTTTCGAACAAAAAGAAGCGAAATTTTTATTTTTAACAAAAACAAAAAAAAAACAACAAGTGTTTTTCTGCTTCTTTATTTTTCTGACTGTTGATTGTTATCAGTCAATTGAAGATATGCGAAAGCATTTTCTTGACATGATCGTAAAACATGTGTATCCGATTGAAATTTTCCACTTAAAATTTCTGCACATTGTTGTTGAACATGTTTATCCGATGATGTTCTTAATAAACTTAATTCATACAATGTTGCATTTTGTGCATGACAATATTCCGGATCATTTAATTCCCAAAGATATTTTATTCCTGAACCCGAAAATTCATTATCAAATAATTGTTCAGTTACTAATGTTGAAATTGTTAATAATGCTTTAATCATAACTAAAACTGCACTAATCGATTTATTTAATTGTAAATGTAATATCATTGTTAATAAACGTTTTATAAAAGCAAGTAATTTATTTTTTGATAATTGTTTATAACGATCAATTAACATTAATTGTATAAGTTTAATAACAAGATCAATATCCATATCGGATGGACATGGTAAAAGTAATGAATAAAATAAAGCATAAAATCTTTGTGGATCAATATGTATTAATACTTGCTGACGATTTAATATTGAAAACACTGTTATTAAACAATGAAATTTAGCACGTTGATTTAAACCAGTTTGTTCAGACGATAATTCATCATAAAAACATGTTATTAAATCATCCATATATTCAATATTAATTAAATTAGCAAATTTAGCTAAACCTTCACATACACTTGGCATTAAACGTAAATTAAGACGACGTTTTAATAAACGAAAATAATTTAAAAAAATTAATTCAATTATTTGACGATTTAATTTTAAACGGTGTTCTTGACGATTAGCTAAAGTTTTATTTTCAAGTAATTTATTTAATTCTTGTTTTTCTTTATGTTGTCGACGATCACGACGTGATAATTTTTGTGAACGATAATCTGGCTTTGATGCTTTTTCAAGCTTTTTTTCTTCTATTGGAGATATTTCACGAATATTAAGTGAAAGAAATACATTGAGTACACATGGTTCAACAGCATAGGAACGAGTTTTTAATAAACGTGTTACAAAACGAACAACTTCAAGAGATAATTCACCTGTATGATCATTATGAAGAAGATCCGCAATACAATTACAACATTGTTGTTGTACAGTCAAATCACTAGAAATAAAATAAGATTTGTATTTTAGTCAAAAAGTTCTTATCATGATATAAACACAAAAATGAGGAGTAAGAGTATAGGATTTACGTCAGAGATGGACAATGTTTAGTTGGCACCTTTACAAGATAATATTGGTTTTCATTCGACTTTTACCTAACTTAATGTAGCTTAGAAAAGTATGTAGAGGGATCTAGGACACTTGCTCACATGGATATGGGTGTGAATGAAGAGAATATCTACATCCACACCCTTCACCAGAGCTCGTCGGATTAATTTCAAAAACTTTGAACTCAACGGACTTTATCTCCTACGGTTGTGAGCAACTGTCTGGCTCCCATATCGAGAAATCAACAAAAAAGTCTCAATTAGCAATGAAAGTATTCATATATGTTCTTGTCTTTTGTCGTCTAAGAACGTAAACCAACTATTTATTTCCGTTAGTGTAAAAAAAGCATTAACATTAATCATCTATTAAACCATATTCAATAGAATATTAATAGTTCTTCTGATTAACGCGAATAAATAAAACATGAATTTATTTATAATAAACCTTCTCCCGTCCTTTCTATCGTAGAAGACTCTGGATATTGTATTTTTTCCAATTGGATAAATGTTTTGGAGTAGTCCTCTATTCTATTCCTTCTTTTTACTAACTAATAATAAAAAACGTTTTCAAGGAAATCTCAACAGATCGGAGAATGTTTCAAAATTAAAAGTATGCAGAAAACACTTTAGCATTAATCTTTTTTTTTAATTTCCAAGTCAGAATTTCCAAACTAGGCATATTTCTGATTCAACATATTAATTCAAGTTACAATTTCTTAATTAATTAAATTGTTAAGAAAGAGTTGTCTCTTCAAGAATCTTCTATTATAGACAAGATTGAAATGATGATCATTAGCAAAGAGACAAGAAAGTCGGAATCAAGATTAGATAGTTTCAATCATCTCCGATGGAACTCAAATAAAATTTCTCTTTCAATTTGGTTCAGTTTAAAAATGTGTTCGTCATATTCTATAAAAGACGAAATCTTTTGTATCATATTGTCACATGGGTCAATAATCACTATTGTTGTAATTGTTTCTCGTTTGCAACATTTTCTTTCATTTCTCTAATAATCTGTGATGATCTGTCTTATCGAGAAAAGATTGAACTTTTTCAAAGTACTTAATAAACATTAATAATCATATCCGTTGAGTATTATGATTTCCTATTAGCTTAGAATAAATCACTGTGATTAAGAAACGTACTGCATATTCCGAGATAATATTTTGACATATTTATCCATTAAAGAAGCAAACAGTCACATGTTAAAGTACGAAGAAGACAGATATAAAAGTATTAAACTATGCTTCTTTCTTCATATAAAAGTCCCGTAAATCTTAATTTGCAAGATCAATATCTTTAGGGTTCACTTAACTCTTCAACGACATCTGACGATGCAAAAACCATGGCACAAAATGTCAACTCTTAGATTTTTTCATAAATGTGTATTGAAAAAGACAGGTTCTTTGCTGTCAAACAGTATCTGATTTTGCATTTGCTAGATATTGATAAAATAAGGTGAGAAAAAAGAGAAACACTGACGCAATAAAATTTTCTATGCTTAAAGTAAAACCTCTTTATGTGAGTAACTCCTTGTTTCGAGTAGTGGACGTTTATTTTTGGTCCCATCAGCAACAAAAACTTCTGTTATAGGAGCAACATAGGTTATTTCACATGCGTACAGAGCGAGAAAAAATGGTGAACTACTGGTATTGGATATTTAAAAGAAAAAAAAACAATATTACATAACAGCAATAGTACTTTGTGTAACATTTCGTCGTTTTTTATGTTAACAACTAGGAACACCAAATCATATCTATACGAGTTCATTTACTTCTAATTAGAACAAGATATATTGAATAGTTGTTGAGAAAAAGAAAAAAATCACATATCACATTGTGCAGCCGACAAGGAATTGCAACTGAATACTTATAAGGTGCAAAAAAGGAAACTGAAAACCTTTCAATAGTGATCATCTCCGTTATGTCAATACTTTTGGCCAGTTCTCATGGTGATCACATTAGAGAGATTTTGCTCTATATAAATTTAACGATAGTTTATTCTAATTAACTGCCGTTTTACAAAATCATTCTTTTATCTTACCTCATTTCATTTATTAATTTGTGATAAATATAAATCATATATAGTTCAACAACAGAAAAATATATTAATTAATCGATAAAATTATCTTTTCAGTACACATTTATGAAAATAATATAATGTTAATTTTTACTTCCCCACATTTCCATCATCTATTATCTCTGAATATTAAATAAGTCAAATTTCTCTTACCTACTAGCCATAAATTGCACGATAACATTAAGTAAATTAGTTCGAAAATTGAAATGATATAAATAAGTTAATAATTTGCATAAACATTGAATAGCTAAATGTCCAAGATTAAGTTTTGATGGTTCGATTGTTTTAATTTGTTTATGTTTGTTTTTTGTTAGATGATTATCTGGAAGACTTTTTTTAGCGCATTGTTCAAGAAAATGAAGAAAATATTGATAATGTTTAAGTAAAGTTTGTTCAAAATGTCGAATCATTTTAACATCTTTAGATAAAGTTTCTCTATTTGTTTGTTTTTTATTTTTCATATTTTTAATTTCTTCATTTTCATCTTTAGTTTGTTCTTTTAATGAACGTATACGATAACTAGGTACAATATCACGAAATAATTCGACTAACGAAAGCATTGTTAATTTTCTTATTGTCATTGATATTAATGGATCACCAAGATTAAGTAATAGACGTAATTGTTTTAAATTTGATACTTCTTCATAAGGACTTTTCATAATTAAGTCACATAATGTAACAATTGTTTGCTTGGTTTCATTTAATTTTTTATCACGTTCAGCTATTAATTCAACAACAGAAACAGGTTTTGATGGTGTTGGAGGAGAAGAAAGAGCTGATGTAGGCTCTTCTTCTTCTTCTTGCTCGTCTTCATCATCTTGGGTTTCTTGTTCAACTATGGGTGTTGATTGAGCAATTAATTGTCCACGATCTGTTTTAATTGGTAATAATGGTCGTTGTTGGTTTGCATTATTAAATGATGAACGTGGTAAACGTTCGTATGATTCAACATACTCATTATCAGCTTCATCATCTGTTTGAATATTGATTTGTTCATTTTCTTCATCCGAAAGCATATCTAATGGTAAAATAAGACTATCATCATCTTCATCTTCGTTAATATCAGTTTCCATTGATGAGATTTTTTGTTGGTTTTTTGGTTGTGGTTTATTTTTTTGATAAATTGAAGAATTCTTTTTTAATGGTATATTAAATTTAACTTTTTGATGAAATTTTTTTTCTTGTTTAGAAATTTTACCAAAATTTGCTTGCTTTTTCTTTTCACGTGTCATTTTTGAACGTGATTTAGGTTTGACAGATTTTTTCGAAGATTTCACCATTTTCACTGAGTCTACAAGTTTTTCATACACAGAATGAACAGCAACAACATTAGCGTTTTTATTCGTTGGTGGAAAGGAATAATCGAATACAGATCAATGCCTTCAATATGGTTAGATATGAGCGACATCTGAAGAATATATTTCGTATTAATAAAAATTTTAGAAAATAGCTTTTTAACATTTGACAGAAACGAGACTTTAATTAGTTTCTCATTATAATAATAAAAAGTGTCGGTTATGCAAACAACGGTTCGATGAGTTGTTATTAAATAGTGATGAGGAATGTTGGGCATGCATACGGATTTCTTCTTTATTGATATTAATAAACTAAATATAATACCAATGACACCGCTGACGGAAGATTATGAAAGTCATAAAATTTATTTTGTTGTTGTAGTTAAAAGAGTTGTTGTTTCTACAATTTTAGTTGCAATTGTTCGTAATGTTGGTACATAACGTTAAACAAGTAGATCAATTATGAAGAAAGCAGCTGAAGTTGAACACTTACTGTTCGATTTAATAAAGTTGTTGTCGATGATTCTGTTGTAGTACCTGGTTCAGATGCTATATTAAATAGCCAAAGATATTTATTTGTTATTCTTATTGAATCTCGTAAACAAGTTGCTATAGGTAAAACTACACCTGGTTTAATGAGGGCTGAACGATATCCCCCAAAAGCGAGAAATTGTTCCACTTATAGCAGAGATTCTTTACCCCACACAAAGTCAAGCAGAAACGCTTTTCATAGCGAAACACACGTCACCACTAAATGTTTTCGATTAGAAACGCATCAACCATATCTATCCTCACAACGAGAAATGTACAAGATATAAGGAGAAATCGATCGGATTATTCTTACATTATAAGGCGAAATGAATAAAATTATTTTTTCACTATAAGGAGATATTCTAGTAGAAATGGATTTTTTACAGAAATACAAAATTTTTCAACAAAAATCCATAATCCATTTCTACCCTCTCGAAATATTTCAAGGAGACATCGTTGAACCATTTCGATTGTCGTAAGGGGAAATCAATCATGTTGTTCGGGGTTTCTTATCCGAATACTAGTATTTTTTTTGGTGGAGAGAAATGGCAGGATCGCTTATGTCATGATAGGCAGAAATGGAAATGATGTAGGAATTCGTACTCATATTTTCCTTCTCAGATGTGGAGAATTACCGCGATGAATTCGGTATGTTATGGACGCTATTGATTGTTGGTGGAATTAATTTGCTCTTATTTGCTGAGACGTAGTTGAAAGGGACGTGTTAAATGCATTAAGTGACTCCTAGGAAGGAGTAAAGCTGAAGTATTAGATGGTTTTTTGTGGTGGTCTTCGCGTGCATATGGTTTGTGCATGAATTGTCTAGTAGAACGAATGCATTTTTTGGCGTAGAAAAGGCTTTCTAGTATCGTGTGAGAAAAACTGGAAAAGAGCATCTACTAAGATTAGTACGGTTGGTAGAATTTCTCCTTGAATGGAATATACTTTCAAGAATACTGAATGGCATATATATTTTTTTGCTTTTTCGATTTCTGCTTGTTAAAGCATTTCTGTTTGTAAAGAACGCTTTCTCCTTGAATGAAATATGTCTTCAAAAAGAGTGAACGATAGACATATATCTATATATATATTCGTTTTTTTCATTTCTCCTTAGTATGTACGATTTTATGTGGGGTGATCGATTTCTCCATAAATGGGAACGATTTCCCAATCGATGGGTCATATTGTCCACTACTGGGCTCAATGTAAACAGTAATTTTCTACTTGTTGTTGACCTGTTAATGTTTGACGTTCTATATAAAGATTATTGGTATAAAGTAATATTCAAAAACTGTTTTTATTCGCCGTATTGCCCTGCCGTTGTTCGTTTCAGAAATCTTTGAATTGTACTTCGAGCAATAGACGCTTTAGTTAGTCGAATTTGTTCCAATGATAACATACCGATTATTTTTAGTTGATTAATGATGAAATCGGAGCATATTATTAATATATCCTGTACTATAAACGCTTCTAACAATTTCAATCTTTCATTTGTATCATATTTAGTAGAGATTCTATTAAGAAATCGATCAGCTGCGGGATTATCTTTACTTTTGTATTCAATAGAACATTCCAATAAGTTCAACTTTCTATTATAACATTGAGCTAAATGGATCATATAAAACTTATCTTGATCAGTAAAAGCACAACACGTAGGTGAAGTTAGCAGCCGATTCGAATAATCCCAGCACGGATTCGCTCAGGAAGTGTTCCAGCTTGCTCCAGGAGAGTTCCAATACAATTCTACTTGCTCTATCCAACGGCGAAATCCGTTTCACGATATCAAGAAGTATTCATGCAAAAATTGAAAAATACACTTTTTTCACTATGGGACTCAGGTACACCTGGAGACAATTCCAGCGCAGATTCTCTCAGAAAATGTACCCGATTGTTCCAGGACAGTCCCAAGTACAATTACACCTGCTCTATCGATTGGAGAAATCCGTTTCTCGATATCTTGAAGTATTCGTGCAAAAATTAAAAAATACACTTTTCCCCATGCCATCCAGGTATACCTGAATTTAATTCCAGCGCGGATTAGCTCAGGAGGTGTTCCAGGTTGTTCCAGGAGAGCTCCAACTGCATTTCTACTTTCTCTATCGATTATTAAAGTCCGATCAATGATATCCTGAAGTATTCATTCATAAATTCAAGAATACTCTTTTTTCCCATGGGCCATGGCAAAACGTTGGAGTTATTCCACCATCGGTTCGTGATATCGGAAATTCGAATTCACCATTGGATAGCGAACATGGAATTGTACTTGGAATTCTCCTAGAGCAACCTGGAATACTTCCTGAGAGAATCCGCGCTGGAATTACCTCCATGTGTACGTCAGTTCCATGGCGAAAAAAGTGTATTTTGAATTTTTGCGCGAATACTTCAAGATATTGTGAAATGGATTTCATCAATCGATAGAGCAGGTAAAATTGTACTTGGGACTCTCCTGAAACATCCCGGAACACTTTCTGTGCGAATCCGCGCTGGAATTATTCGAATCGGCTGCTAACTTCACCTACGTAAGCACAACAGTGTTCAGATTTGTGAGAAACGTAATATTCCTCTTATATAATTATATTATAGGATTTGCTAACACACTATGATTTCCGATCATCGTACTGATGTGAAGTTGTTCCGCTTGGAATTGCTGTTGTTTTTATTGATTAATAACTGAAGATGAATGTCATCGTTATACCCAATGTGTTTGCTGTAAAAAGTCAGCAACTATATAATAGGTTTATCAACAATACGTTGGAAATAGTATTGTTCGAGCATATCGAAGGAAAACATTTAAGAGAGAATAGAGAGAGAGAGATATTGAGATAGAGAACCTATCATTGAACAGAAAGGAAAGACATAGAAAATGAAAAATATATATGAGAGTATGACACAAAAGGAAAAGGGGATCCTATTGGATCCTAGAAGCAGTAGGATCCAGGATCCGCTGTTCTCTCTAATTGAAATTCATCAGTATATGGTGGAACATTCAATATTTTGACTTCAAACTAAAATAAAACATCAGCAATTATTTAATTTTACTGATAATAAAATGATAATCACTTCTATAAAGTGTGATGTAAGAAAATAAGGATTTTTGCTTGATACAGCTGGATAGCTACATGAAGAAAAAACTTCAGTATTAAAAGATTTGTTTTAACATAGCCGTTTTAAGAAGTTCAATATATCTTCTTACATTTTTTTTATTTGTTTCCGAAGACAAGACTGTTGAATAGCTCGACGATTTGTCGCATGAACGAAAGATATGGGAGGTGATGTCGAATTTATTCCGTTTAATGTTGGAAGTTTGGAGTAAATGTGCATGTTACCATTATCAATGATTGGTAGAGGAATCAGACGGTTGCTTGTAAATGTGTCTATACTACAATGCTTAGCTCAATTTCTCGTGCATATCTTTATTAAATTTTNGCACTTCGAAAACTGGCACTTTTTAGGGGTTTCTGTAAAACCAGTATAAAACCTGAACGGCTCAATGGATTTTCAAAATTCTTTCACCAATATTCTTAGAACTCTTCCCTCTACAACATATCAGAAAATGAACAAGATCTGACGACCTCGATTGAACAGCCTCGGTCGTGGCTTACACGAACTGGCTCATATTGAGACATATTTCTTCATCATTGCTTACGTTATAGTACAGAACTTCAACAAGAAAATACTCCACATTTATTCGAATTAGATGCTAGTTACACATGATCTCGGATAGTCCTTTAAAGCGATCTGTCACGGTCTGTGATGGGTCCTGATTCCGTCTGTGATGGATTCGGGCTTTGCCTGTTTCGATCTGTGAGGGGCAAATAATTAATTAGAGAGTAATTAATGAATTAATTATTTAATTAATTAACATTGTCTGTCACGGTCTGCGGGGGGGGGAGGGGAGGGAAAGGAGTGCAGATTTCTTCCCTATATTTTCAACAGTCCTTTCAGATCGTGTTTCACAAAATTATAGTCGCAAGTTTTTACAGACTATTTTTATTAATTTTAGAATGGACGTTGTTATTTGACAGTTAGAACAATTTGTTGACTGTGAGTTGAGTCTAGTTTATAGGGTTTACTGCAAAAATGATAATACAAAAAATCTGCTAATGCTTTTGAACTAAGCAAATGGTTAAAACAGGATCATAAAAAAATACCCATGGTTTCGATTACGATCGAATTGTGATGCAATTACACCATAACTGTAATTGCGAAAAATTACCACGTAGTTACCCACAACTGCATTTCTTTCGCTGTAACTACGTGTAACTTGATGGTGATTTTTTCGAATATAATACACAGTGCGACAGTCACTACAGCGTAGCTGCGTTACAGTTACTAAAGAGTAGACGAAGTGTGAGCACTTCAATGTTTTTTATGTATAATCGGTAGTTTTGATTGTTCTAATCGTGAATGAGGAGCTATTTCTCAGCATATGCACACAAAAGATCATTCAGAAAATATAACATTATTGAAGGATAATTCAATATCTTGTATTGAATCTTCTACAATACAAATATCATCACTGATGATGTTGTTAAGACATCAAAATTCAAACTAAATAATGTAAAAAAGACTGACGATACTAGATTTTCAAGCACAATTCAATTAAGCAAACCATATAGACTTTAACAATTGCTCAGCATGATTATACTTTTAATTCATGTGATGAAAGTGAAAACATTTTTCGTGCTATGTTCCTCAATTGAGACATAGCTGTATAATTTAATATGTAGCCACAGAAGATTTTCTATGTTTTATATCATAGTCTTGGTCCATATTTCCTGTAAGAACTTATGAAATATTTAAGGCATAATAAACATTTTGTAATGTGTTGCAACGAACACACCAAGAAACAACATTGTAAACGGATAGGTTCATCAGTAAAATATTTGTGTCATGATGAAGGACTGGTTGTTACTCGTTATTACAAGTCGATTTCATTGGAAAATGCAACAACCCCTATTCTCCCATCTGCTATTATGAATTCATTTAAACTAACGGTTTAGAACTTAAGCAATGGCTTGTGTTTGATCATGACAACCATTTTCTTAATATATCAAAGATCCGCAAATCGTCCAGTTACACCGCCTCGTCTTGCCGCGTGGTGAAGATGAGACGATGCACGATTTGACGATTCGTTTCCTCTCCTTGCGATTCATCTATTCTGTCTTATCAAATTTTGTTCGATCATTCTATTCAATTCCAACAACTACAGCTAACGTCGAAAGTCAGTTTAGTAATGATGGTTGAATGATCAACTCTAGATTAAATCGATCAAATTCCCAGCAAGTAAACAACGTATCGTCTATGTGTTCAATAAAAACAACTAAATGATAGTTATTCATTTTGATCTCATTGTACAATTTTTTATTTTGTTTTGTGAACCTGTTCATTTGTATTAAATGTACTTTATTTGATCTTATCAAGTAAAAGAAGTAGTAATTGTTATATGTGGTTGAAAAAATGCAAAAAAAGCATCCGTTTTGTAGAACTGATATATTGTTTCGAAGAAAATAGTGGGTGAAACAGTAAGTCAAAGTTTGATAACTTTCTCCTCCTTATTATAAACCTTAGCAACTGAGAACAACAACGTCAAACTCCTTTCTCAGAGTTCTCCACTAACAGAGCAAGGAGCTAAACGGTATTAAGGACAAATGTTAGACTGCTCTAGAAAGATCTAGAATCTTCTAACGCCTTCCTCAAAACTTGAATGGCTAGAATACGTTTTTGAATGTTCGAAATTGTGCAGTTATTGATTCGTACGCAGATAATAATTTATACTCAAGATTTCAAGAATGATCAGTAGCAATGCATTGATTTGCTACAGTCATCACGTGATCAATATAAAAAGCATGAACTGATCAAGTTATAACTTTGGGAAATAATCAATATCATTGTTTCTGATCTTATCGAAATATGTAATAGTACATTGAGACCTGCTGCTCTAGACACAATGGATGTGCTTGACAGACTTATATGTTAGTTAATTCAAAGCTTAAAATAATAACAATGTTAAAGTAAGGAAAAACGAAGTACGAAAAAGCTTAACAAGCAAATAGCAACAAAGCAAACAAAAGATACAGTACTAGTAAAAAAACATCTTCGGAATGCAGTAATAAATAAGAAAGATCGTTCCTCTGATGATTGATCATCTTGGAAAACAACTATAATCTGCGAGAAATTTTTAGCTTCGCATGTTTTGTATTAGTATAACGAGGCTGAAAAGACACATATGAGACGTTTGCAAGCCACTTGTACAATTTGAACGAAAAAATGGCTAAGCTTATATCTTGTAGAATTCTCAACCGAATTTAATAATTTTATCAAAAAATATCCTTTTCAGATGTGACTAGTTTGGCTGCTAAAATCAGTCATCTACCTATTGTCTATCAATCGAGAGCGTGAAAGTGATGTCCCTTTCCCACTGAAATTTCACATGGACATGCCCCATAGCGATAAAATAATCTGCTTTTTTTTTGTTAACAATGCGTTTTGAAAATTTATTTTAACTTGTTACTATCTTCGTAAGATTGGTTAGAAAATGTACTATTTGATTTAGCCAAGTTGCTTTTATAGAGGTTTGTACTTGCTCGAAGCAATCGTGATCGCAGATTTGGTAAAAAATGTCTCGCCACGCAGTCAACCATTTTTTTCGTAACGGAGAAATTGAACGAGCCCCTATCAATTATAGTCAAAGCGTAGACCGAAGAAAAGAAAACAAGATGAGATCTGAAAGAAATCTACAATATTTTTTGTTAGATAAAAAATATAAAAATTCAGATCTCAAAACGCGCCTTCCTCGCCAAATGTCCATCTTTCTTTTTGTTTTTTATATATTTCAAGTTCTACTATATCATTGTCAGAATAATTTCCACCAAAAGTAGACCGCTAAATATAGAACGAATGCTTGAAATTTCAACTCGCAATTCTTCATCGTTCGGAAGAAAATTACAAAATACAGATCAAATGTCTCGTCACGTTCTTTTTTGATAGAAAAACCGATGTTGTTCCACCAAAACAGAAAGATCTCTAGATGTGTCTTATATGAATCGAAATTTTTTTGAAAGGCTCAAACAATTACATGTGCAAAATCCTTGACAGGCGACGAAGATGAGTTTGCTCGTGTTAAAATAAGCTTTTTTAGGTTTTTATGCGTGGATCGAAGAAAAACCATATTTCTTAAGAAGAAAATGACGAAACCTTTTGAAAAGAAACATAGTGTGAAATAAAAAAAGTTATGTTATTTTTTAAAGATTGTAGAGTTCGAACTATTTTTCTTGGCATTTATCTCAAATTTCATCCTTTTCAGAAAAAATATACTTTTTGGAGGGGGGGGGGGGGCAGATTTTTTTTCATTTTGCGAAATTTCGACTATCCTTGATAGTGGCAGTGGAACAACGATCGGTTTCCTTTCATTTCTTTAGTGGTACTATTTATCCCAAATATACACAAAATCATTCCATTGAAGAATGAAATTTTCAAAAAAGGTTGAAGCCAAATTGTACAAATGACTTCCAATCGTCTCATATATGTTCTGAATGTTAACCTCAAAGGAGTTGCACAAGCAAGCATCTTATCCCAGGTTAGTGACGAGGCGAGACAGTTACGAAACGACTTTTCTGCTATTCCGTGGATCTCTGTAATATATCACTTCAAAATTTGATCGATCATAGGGTGAAGAAGATTAGTTTCAGTCTTCTGAAAATTGGAGGTTGTCATCTTCATATCGTTCACAACAGTTTAGAGCTGGTGATCATCAATACTTTATATTAAGAAGAACATTTTTTCTGTTCGTAGGTTTATCATCTACAGATTGACATATCGAAAATACGCTGGCAAATATTTATTTGTGATTCAAACAATCACCACCTGGTAAACAAGATTTTATTGATATAATTGATGATTTCAATAGTTTGATGGAAAAAACAATGTTGTATTTCACGAATACACAATGAGTTTTGCTTGGTAAGATAATAATACATATTTTAAGGAAGTTTTTCAGATATTTACTCTGATGCTTTTGTCAAGCTACGGTGAATGATTATTTGCAGCATTATGAAAATAGTTGCATAAGTATTTCTGATTTTTATACCTACTAATAAAAATGTACTAATTCAAACCAATAATTGTTATTAAAGGACTCAATTAACTTTATTATCATAAATTATAAGAACTCGATTACAATTGGCTTGTATTTTTATGTGAGATCATTTTTGATAGCTTTCTAACATTATTTCAACGAATTGGACATGTTAGAGACAAAATTGATGATTGATTGTTGGATTTAGATTTTAAATTGAACGAAAACCTTAACTGAGAAATAAACAATTATGTATACGAACCATCAAACATAATATTAGAACAATTATATTTAGTGTAGCTTCTTTTTATTTTCAGAAGGAGAAGCATGTAAATTAGTAACTCATCTTACACAAAAAGAGCAAGAAACATTTTTTGAAAATGTAAAATCTATCTAGCGTGCAATAGCACAATGTTTTAAAACAAATCAACCATTGAAAGATTCATTTTCACATGTTATACAAGTTTTGGAATGGTTCATGCAAATTCACCCATCATACATATAAGCTCATACATATTGCTACGGGTTACATGAATTTCGGCCCACGGAATTTTCGGCCCGGACTTTCGACACGGTCCGAAAGTCCTAGAGGAATTTCGGCCCATCCTTAGAATGATCTCATTGATCCCTAAAAAAAAAAGTTTAATTTTTTTTAATTAATTGCCAGATATCGTAGTGCTGAGCAGGACGACGTGTTGCTGAGCAGGATGACGTGTTGCTGAGTAGAACGGCGTAGTGCTGAGCGGGACGACTTACTGCTGAGCAGGAAGATATGAGCGTGGACATAGCTGTGGACGCCGGTCAACGCAAAAAAGATACGAACAAACCATATACGCCTGCACCCACCCTAGCACCCCACAAGCTTACACCTACACCCACACCCATGGTATTCTGCTCAACATTGCGCCACGCCGTCCTGATCAGCACCACGACGTTCCGCTCAGCACTATGCCGTTCTGCTCAGCACCAGGTCGTCCTTCTCAGCATCAGATCGTCCTGCTCAGCGCCACGTCGTCCTGCTCAGCACTACGATATCTAGCAATTAATTAAAAAAATTAAACTTTTTTTTAGGGATCAATGAGGCCATTCTAAGGATGGGCCGAAATTCCTCTAGGACTTTCGACCCGGCCCGAAAATTCACCGGAATTTTGGACCGGGTCGAAAGTCCGAGCCGAAAATTCCGTGGGCCGAAATTCTGGTCTCCCACTGCTACAGCTGTTCTTTGTAAGTGAATGTTGATGAAAAATGGTTCGTTAAAGGAAAAAAATGAAGTTTGTTTCAATGATGAATATATTATTTATTATCGTATTGATTATTATTGGAATCACGCTTTGGAAATTACAATGTCGGATGTACGTTCGAAGTACGCTACACTAACTAAATTTGCTAAAAATATTCTCATTAATCCTCATGATCATGATGATATTGAATGCAGTTTTTCGATAAGTGAGGATCTGGTTACACCAAATTGGTCGATGTTATCTGATTCACCAATTAATGGCTTACAATCAACATATAATGTTTTAAATTTAAGTACATATTAATAAAAAAATTCTTACAGCAAAGAAAACCTTGCATTTTCCGTACAAACAAGATCTGAGCTGCAAACAGGCAACAATAAAACGTTTAGAAAAAGAAAATCGAGAACGTGTAAATGTGGACGAAGTTTGTAAAGAAGTTTTCCAACAAGAAAAGGATTTGCTCAAGAAACAGGAAGATTTACAATGTCAATTACATGAAATCAGCTCGGTTATTACTGATGGTAATGAATGTTAACAACTTTCAATAAAGAAAAAAGATAATACTGATATAGATATAGCCATTATGCTAATTAATGATAGTGATACCAAAAGATACCAAAAGTAAAACGATTAGTGAATATTGCTGAAAGTAACATAAGAGTTTATTATAAGTAAAAAACGAAGATATGTACTGGGTCAATAAGACAACAAGCGACAGAGAAGGATACGAGAATCATGGATTAGTTTAAACTTTACTTTGGCTTGAAAAGGCATTTTACATAGAACAAATTTTGAGAACTATCAAACATTCGATTATTATTTATCTCATCAGGGTATCATGTTTGTGAATGCTTGTCTTTTTTCTTACTAAATTCAACTTATAATTAAAATTTCGTTCACGACACATCCAGTCTTAATTCGACTTGGTACTCGGCTATCTTTCCAAAAACAAACATTTGTACCATTTGAAGAACAATAAACAGACAAGAGCTTTTCGTTACCATAACTGAAAACTATTCAGCAACAATTCCATAAGTTGTTTTTTCAATCTAAATTCTGGTAAATCGAAATGTGTCAATGAAGCAGATGAAATTTTATTCGTAATTAAAAAGATAGACATTCCTGTAATTTACAATATTCATGTTTATTTGTGTGCCTCTGTCATTTGTAATGCCAACTGACAAGTATCGCTTCGTAGATTTTGTGGAGCGCATCTATATTTCGAAGAAAATATAATGAATACAAATTTAAATCGAGATTTTTGCGACTTTTCACTAGCTACTAGCAACGGAGGTGGGAAAACCAACAATCATTGGGTATATTTTTCTAGCAACGATACAAGGTGCATCAGTAATAACAGTGTTTAGATCATTCTGGCACTTTCCACAATTTCAAAAGCATTGTATGAATCAAAGATTTCTACTATAGATTCTAATTAGTCTAAATACTATGTGTTTTGGTGTTTAATGCAGCGAAAGAATCTTATTGTACATAGATCTGACCAAAAGTTCTGAGAACATTAAATACAAATATAAAGATAAGGACATATTGTCAATTTTATTTCATCAAATGTTCACAATAGTTATTATGATTATTTACAGGAAGTTCAATCCTTTCTAATAATTTATTAAAAAATATTTTCAGCTCTTTTTCGAAAAAAGTTTTAGCTACCTTGGATCCTGCATGAGCACATCATACTTCATTTCTTTTTAAATTTAACGAAATTTATTCGATCATGTCAATTGTGTTCTAGCACTAACTAGTGATAACATATAGATTTATTTTAGATACGTTAGCGATAAGTTATCTGATGCTAGCTGGCATATTGACGAAGAATCTTCAAAGACTGTTGTTCATGAAGAAAGATTTCAAGCAAACCTTTGTTCCGTATATTCATTAAATCAAATAGTCCTGGGTGTAGATAAAGACAGGACCGTAGATCACAAGTATTATATTGAAAATTATCTGAAGCCTTCGCATGTAAAAAAAATGACCGAAAAAATCAGATTTTAATCGAGTTTTTTCTGATTAATAATCGATTAAAATGGCACGATTTTAATCAGATTTTAACCCGATTTCTTGATTTTTAATAAACTTTAATCAACCTTCGACTGTTAATCGATTTTAATTCGGTTACTAAAAAAACGTTTTTCTCCAGTTTTCGCTTAGAAACTTGAATTTTTTATTACTTTTTCTGACTCTTTACGTCGACAAATGGTAAGTGTAGTACTAGCCCTACCATTGACACATTCCTATATACGACATCAATTTACACTGACTCGTGTAAGCCATAATACCGATATCATAGATTAAAATCGATTAAAAGTCAAATAATTGATTTTAATCGATTACAATCTCATGAAAATCGATTCATATCTGATTTTTCCGGTTAGTTTTCTTACATGGGTTTTGTTAATATAATATAGAAACAAACAGAGACGTCAGGTTCAAAATGTCCAAAATTACTTGACGGTCATCGCTAACTGCATACTCGTCGGATGTTATTTATTATTTGACAGAAGAAGACATGAATATAATGTCGTATCCGTTATATTCATCGTACCTAATACTACATAATCCTTCGTTAAATAGTTTTATTGACTATAGTCAAACTGATTAAATAAATGAAATATGATGTGCTCATGCGGGATCCAAGGTAGCTAAACGTTTTTTTGAAAAAGAGCTTAAAATATCTTTTAATAAATTAATAGAAAGGATTGAAATTGCTATAAATAATTATAATAACTATTGTGAACATTTGATAAAATAAAATTGAAAATATCTCCTTATCTTTATATTTTTATTTCATGTTCTCAGAACGTTTGGTCACACCTATGTAAGTATTAGTCAGAATAGGACAAACATAGAAAAGTATGAAGTAATTGAAATTCTAGGTTTATGCAAAACTCAATAAAATATGTCAACACTCGTCTAGAGAAAGAATGGTGCGCTCTTAAGCTTACTGAACGATTAAGTTCATGTGCATAGTAGGTTCATATGGTAATTGTATCGACGAAACAAAGAATAAAATTATACTTACCACTTCTTATGACACGTATCGTACATATTATCATTAGGAGAAAAAGAAGTTTATACATTGAACATGTAGCTAACAATAGAAATATAAAATTTTTCAGTATCACGATGTTAAATGAATCTGATGAATTGGTAGAATAGTAATCCGAAATGCAAACATTTTCGGGATGATAGTTTCAGAACGTGCGTATCAACTAAAAAGTTGTTATAATTTTGATTTATTTATTCATTTGACATTTTCTAAAATAAATTATTCCAACGCCTCTGACAATATTTCATAAATTTACAACAGTCTGAGTTTGTGAGTTCCACACTTTGGCCCCTGAAGTGGTTGTACCAAAAAGTTTTTCTGATGATGTCGAACGACAAAATTCTCATAATGAAGAAAAGTGTTTCGCTTGAAAGAAATCATTCTCAAAGTTCTTCATTGTTTTAACTATAGTTTAATCGACTCAACTTATACAACGTCAATAATCAATGTCATTTACTTTTTGAACATACAATACAGACATCTACCAAACTGTATATCGTTTTATGTTGAGAAAATTATTTCATAGCTATATTACAATTTAAAAATAAGAAATTACAAAAATTATTCTCTTTCAATTCATGAAAAAATAAATGAGGACCTTTTTATCAATAAATATTTCGAAAATTCACTTTCGTTCATATATATGATTGATCACTATACTAATAACAAAAATTTCATCAATATTTATCATACCTTTATCGGCCTATGTTTGTATAATATCATTTAAAGTAGATTAATAATAATGATAGTTTTTTCAAGAAGAAGAATCTTGTTCCATTTTTCTATTTTTGTACTATTCATTCTCAAGTAATGAATATAATGATTGTCCAAAGAAAGAAGAAAAATAGATGTTTCGTCAAATCTCAGTTCAATATCGTTATGATTTCAGTGAACAAAGTAGTGTATCATCAGCAACTATAATTGTTTCCATAAATTTCAGTAAAAAAAAACATTTTATTGATAATGTAGGATTATAGGTAGATGGCAAATTAACAATCGTGATGCGTATCTTTTGCAATAAAAAAAAAACAGCCAAATGGTATATTTCATGTAGATTACAAAATAATTTATGACTGATGTTCAATTACCAAAAAAGACAATTAGATTGACATGTTCATTGTGATCTAAATAATTACTTTGTGTGGACGAATAATAAACGAGATGGAAAACACAGATTAATATGCAGTCAGGTCACTTCTGTTGTATGACTGTAGTTACTAACAAGTTTTTCTATAATGAACGAGATTTAAATAATAGACTTGTTATTTCTAAATCATGTTTTCTTCATTATTAGGTTGACTAATAGCAATTTATACTACATTCTTCAATTAGACTTAAAAATTAATTACAGCAGATTGAAACAAGTTTTTTCATTGTAGAAAAGAACGTCACGATAGTTCGATTTATCTTTACTGAGATATATATATGCAATAGGACTGTTAACTTTTATACTTTTTTAGTTTTTCAGAGTAATTGAAGAATGCTTGAATTTCTTTAGGTTTTCATATAGTACGAAATTATTTTGAGAGAGTCGAAATCATAAAAATGCGGCGGCTGTGATATCAACTATTAAGTTTGCTATAAATATTTTTGGATACGCAGCAATTCAGATATAGATTTATGTCTGAAAAAGACTTTAAAAATCAAGTTTTCAGTATCTGAGAAAAGTCTATTGTATTAAAAACTTTAGCAATATAATTTCATTGAAGATGGTCATTGATAGATGAAGAGTAAACGAATCGAAAACATCAGAAAATGGTATATGACTGTTACAAAGGTCTTTTTCTACAGCAATATAGTCAGATCAATGAGGATTTGTTTCCAAATTAATTTAGCTAGCCTATTGATAAAAAAATGAATTTCTGTTATACACCACTTAAACATATAGGCTCATGCAGCCGAAAAAAGGAAGAAGACAGAGAGCGAGAGAGAAGACAATGGAGAAGAAGAGTAACTTGGATACGCGCCTCCTAGTTAAAATTAGGTTAATATCAAACAAAGACGATAATTTCATGTATCTTCTTTTCGAACTTCACAATAAGTAAAGAAATATGAAACACAAAAGAACGATTAAATGGATAATCCATCACAAAAGAAAGACATGCAAACGAACTCATACGATCACACATACATACACATATAAAGAATATGAGAGCACCTTGTTAAAGTATTCTTTAATAACGACAATTATTATAAGTTGTGAAAATGCTTCGTTCGTTATTTATGAATCTTCCAT